TCTTTCTAGGTGTAATTATGTAATTTTTTCATGTTAGTAAGTAGTGTACTCACGCCCGTTTAACTCACAACGAGTGAAAAATGTCCATCGGTAAAAATGTTGTGAGCAACCTCCGTTCCTCGTTGTGAGCACCCATCTTTGACGTGTGACACGATAAACAAGGTGAGTTTTTCATAATTTTTTAAGATTAAAGACATTTTTGTAAAAATATCGAAATGCAGTTAGCTAGCGATGTGTTTTCCGAGTATGCACATGTACTTGCCTGTTGGTGGACAATTTGATGGAAATACCGTGCGACGCAGTCACTCGGGGTAGCTGGAAAACTGGAGACAACTTCTCTTTGGACCTAATTTAACATTGAAAACGTCGATTCAAATTGAAAATAAAGATAAAGAATTTGAAATATAATGAAATATGGTAGAATATGCAAGAAAATATGCAAGAAAAATGTAATAATTTATCCATTGCAAACTTGCTCTTGCAATCCACCTAAGTTACCAAATAGAGGTGAAAATAAGCAAAATTAGTCCTTACTGTGTTAGTAACGCAGTATAAATATGATGAATACCACAAAAACAGTCTTTAATTGCCTATAACCTATAAATCATTACTTGAATCTTGAAACATTTTACTTGTCTTTAATTTTTTCCACTTTTTTTCTCAGATTTAATTTTCTTGAAATATTTCCGCTCGTCTGGAGGCATGCTTTAAGGTCGTTAAATATGAAACTGTTTAAAATATGATGATAAAACTGATAATACAAATCAAAATAACAGAAAGGTGATACATCAAAGCGATTTTATTTAAGATTACAATACAGCTAGGAAATTTTGTAAATTTTACAATACTTTATTAATAATGAAACTTTACACAGAATTCAGAATATACACATAACAGTTTGGTTTGAACATACACAAAACGTTACAAGGCAAATCTAAGAGGAATTTTCTTTTTGACTAGACAAATGTACAAAGAATTATCTTTGCTAATAAATGTAAAAGAATTTTCTTTTTAACTAGACAAACACACGTTAAAAATATAAAAAGTTTAAACACAATAAAAACATCGATTTCGGTGTACTGATGTAAATACGCCTTCACTCTTCTGTCAGCAAGGACTTGAGCCATTCCTAGATATACATGTGCATGTCCCCAGCTTGTTTCTTCGTGATTTTCAACATGTACATTTATGATTAAAACGTTTGATTATGTCCGTCAAAACTGTTTTGTATCTTCAAACGCTGATCTTTTCATCGAGCATGCATATATACATTCTTCCATGGGTAAGAAATATTTTAAAGGACCTTTTCAAAATGAAAATAAATGTACGTTGCTTCCATATTTTTCTTATGGATTTTAACATAGAATAATAATGATAATAATGTAATTGTCAAACGTTGAAAACATCATTTTATTATAATGATGATCAAGAGAAATCCAAGAAAATAATTCTGACAGCAATCTGGAGAAACATAGATGAATGCAGTAGATGTGTTAACGGAATTTCATTTCTACTTTCTTTAAACTTGAGTGTTTCCATTCGTTCCACCTAATCCCTTTATAACTTTTTTCGGAATACTGTCAGTTGAGATTTGAATAGTAACAACTTTTATACCACCAAGCGCCATGATACTCAACAGCACAATTTGTTGATGAAGTATTATCATTGTCTCTGTCAAAAGTTGAGAACATCATCCTATTATGATAATTTAGGGCATCCGGGGCAGTTCCACTATATCCACTCACCTCCAGTTTGTAGTTGTCTTCTTCTGGATATATCTTAAATTTGCTATACTTGGCATATGCACTTTTTCCAACAAATTCTTCCAACTCTACTCTAAGTTCATGTTCTCCACTTGCTGTCAGTGAACTCAAATGATCATTTCCGAGCCAGAACTCGCCGTTTACATCGCCAAATCCATTTTTATACTCAGTCCAGTTACGATAGAAATCTACCTGTCCATTCAGTCTTCTCTGAAATACTGTCCAACCCCCACCATCTGTAGTTTGGTCACAGTAAACCACAATTCCGTTCCGTAGTTTAACAGTTCCTCTTTCACGGCATTGTGTGATACCGTTATTGAGTAGTTCAGTACAAGACGCTTCTCTTAATACGGGCATTATGTTAGTTGATAATTCTGTTACCAGCGAGTATAAACGTTCTATATTTACTTTAATTTTTTCCATATTTGCTACTATAGCATCAACTCTTTCATTGCTTATGGCTGTTTTGTTTTCTATGTCATCGGTTTTCTGTTTCACTTGCTCAAGTTTTAAAGCAATTTCTGTTATCGTGTTGTTTCGCACTGACTTCCGATATCATCAATGTATTTGTCTCCATTTTCGAAATTACCTTGTCGGTCTTGTTTAAACTAAGTTTACAATAGTTGTCCATTTCCTCTTGAACTGCTTTAAGATTATTTCCTAAGTTAGGAATTTCTCTCCGAATCCTTGCCGTTTCTGTCTTCTCTTCGCCAAATGCTTTCCTGATCCGTGTAAAGTCTTCTTTTAGATGTTCAATAGCTTTAGAGCTTGTTTCGCCTGCTTCTTTTGGCACTTCATCGTAGCGGCTTACTCTGCGATCAAGCGATGTATTCAATACTTTATCTATCTCGTCCAATCTGTAGATTATTTCGGAGTAATCATCATGTCTGAATTTTGATTCTGAATTAACTCTGTTCTCTAAGTATCGTATTCTTTCCTTCACAAGTCTCAAGTCATTAGCAGAAGCATGAAATATTCCGACTATCAGCAAAATGATAAATACTACTTTCATTTTTGGCAGATGTTTGATTTTAAATGTTAGGTATATAAATCCTACTGCCTGATTAATTAATTTTTTCATATGAAACTGCTAGTTCACTTCTTAACAATAGTTATGATTTGTAAGCTATATCAAGATACCAGTCATATTTATATAACTATCCGGTTGCGTTAATTATGCTGAAGTTGTTATTTTGGTACTTGAGGCACTTGAAAAAAGAGAGCAAAAATCTGGTTACATAAAATGTTGTACAAATTTTGGTAATTACAGTCAATTATTCATTCAGTTTGAGTGGTTTATTTCTTTATTTTATTTTTTTTTCTTCTTATTTTGTATTGGATTTTTTTGCAATGGCGTTTTAAATTGGTAGATCTAGACGATTTAAAAATAAAGAAACTGGCCTTCAATTAATTATTAATGTTTTTGTTTTATTATTTTATTCTAAAGAAATATTTTTTAGATATTTTAATGGGCTGAACGATTGTGAGTGGCAGCGTTGCAAAGAAGTTAACACGTAATTACAAGTACTAGTAATCTAAGGAATGCTGGTCGCGTGGTTTCAAACCCCTTCAGGGACAAGCCAGCAAGAAATTTTATACTCATTGATTGGTACTTGTTAGTTACAGGAACGGATTCTATAGCGTTTCAATAAGCCTATAGCTTCAAACGCAGTTGAACTAGAATAAATTAGTTAAAGATGCAAATGCCTCCTATTTATAGGAGTTTGAATAAAATACGAATTACGAATTACATTCTGAGTGAACTTTTCAGACTGTACACTTAACCTTTTCCCTTATATAAGCGTGTTTCGACGGCTTTATGTTCCCCTCCCCCTTTTGAGGCCTCAAACAGTAAAAAAATGCCCTATTTAGGCCCCAATTACTGTTTTTCGTTTGAGAAATGTTGTTAAAAAAAGTGACCACTTTTTCAGCGCCGTCCCCCATCCAAATATTACATCAGGGGATGCCAGAAGGGGGATGTACCCCCTTCTGTTTGTGGGGTAAGAAGGGGGGCGGAGTCCCCCTCATCGCCAAGAAAATTTTGGACATGTGACAGGCTAAAAATGGCCTCAGGTCGATCTTAGGGTAACTAGTAACCGACGCTGAAAAACCTTTTACTCTATCTCAATTCATTGAGAAGTTGCAGCACTTTGAAATCAGTTTTGATGGAAAAAAACAATGCAAAATAGTGATTTTTGGCAATTTTGAGACGTCCCCCCGTTGCCATGGTAACAGGAAATTTACCATTAAGCATGCTGATACAGAGGCTATGGTGTAGTCAACATTTGTGCCAAGTTTCATTAATATTGAAACTTTTCTCATAGTTTCATAGCAGTTTGAACTTGTAACAGGAGGCTTTTCAATGAAAACGGCCATTTTTCGCAATATGCTCATGGGGGAAAAGGTTAAATATGCACGTTTTTGTACTTTTTACGCCTTGTGAGTCGCATCGCAAATTTTGTCGTAAAATTCACATTATTTTAGAGCATTTAATTAATGCGTTTAGTCTAGTGCAAAATTAACATAATATTTTGCGTTTCTGACCTATTTACTATTTTGCGTTTCTGACCTATATTATATTTTCTGATCATATCACATTTTGCGTTTCTGACCACATTGTACTAGTATTTTGCGTTTCTGATCTATATTATATTTTGCGATTATGACCTAAATTATATCCTACGATTCTGACTTATATTAGAATTTGCGTTTGTAACTTAATAATTATGTTATAATATTTTGCGTTTCTGACCGGGAAACATTATTTTTCTAAACTCTAAGAATAACGTACCTCCTTGGGGTTCATTTAAGAATATATTTCTGATACCTCTAGGCAGGGATTTAAATCTAATTAAATAGCAGTAATGTATCTTTATGCTAAAAGAATTGTTCAAATGGATCATTTTCATTTTCTGAAATAACAAAAGAGAAAAGTTTAAATTATTACATTTAAATTAAAGATTTAACTTTTCTTAAAATAATTAAAATATTTTTTTATTAAAATATGGACACTGTATTGAGATGCGGCACCTTTAACATTCGATGCTACAAGTCAATGGGAACATCTCGGCTATTATCAATAATTCCTATCCGAAGACGAACAGTTGCGATTGGTTGGTATACAAGTATTACATATGGTTGCTGGTTTGGTACGCTTTTGTGTGTCTAGTTGGCGCTAGCGACAACACGACAAAGCGCCAAACGGCGTGTTGTCGGACATTCGTCTTGTCGTTCTGTCGCCGTTTGGCGTGCCGCGCTAGAGACAAGACGACAACGCGCCGCTTGGCGCTTTGTCGTGTTGTCGATAGAGCCAACGCGACGCACAAAAGCGTACCAAATCAGCCACCATAATAACATACCACTGAACTATGGCAGCCAATATCCACCGTAGGATCGTCCAATGTTTAAGGTCCATAGCCGTGTTTAAAATAAGATATTATTTCGATGTGACTAATAGATTATTAAGAAAGTAGGGAGTCTACTGAAATGGAGTTTATTTTGCCATTTCAAACTAAACAGTCAGTTAACAAGCATTTCATGGTAGTATTTTTATTTGAAATACATTAGTTCCCTTACATACGGGCAAGTGTAATAAATACAGAAACACATATTATGTCCCGGAACAAATTTATACGTAGCGGGAATACAAAGATATGCATGCCCTCTACATCCCAGTGGTCCATATGTCCGTCCTGTTACGTCTAACATTCTTGATAAAAATCATCTAAAAGGTTGTACAATGAGAAATACAATTAAACCAAGAGCGGTACCGTTAGATAAGATTGGTGTATTGTACTTAATCGTGTAACCTATGCGTCTCCATACTGTGTGGTATATTAAGAATCACGTGTTTCACTTGGAAGGGATTATGAATAATGGCACGAAATTTGTTCTTTCGAAAGTTATTGAAAATCCAGATAAGTATTGTTTTTCATACTAGCTAACTCTATTACTGCAAGTTAAAAGAAAACTGTGTTTAGTGTGGTGGCCGATAGCGTCCGTTTAAAAAGCCTCGATAAGTTTTACCGTCAGTTTATAAAATGTCGCGGGCAACTTTTAAATTAGCCAGTTTTTATGTCAAATTGTATAAAATGTCGCGGCTAAAAGAAACTCGAATGTTTATTCACATATCTGTCGTAAAAAGTCGAGTTTTACGAGGAAAACCGCGACAATTTCTGTTAACATGGTAGACTAAACCATGCAAACATATATCTACTTTAGGTAGCCGATTAAAGCCATTATAATCTGCGATATTTTGTTTTGATGCATACCTTGTAAAAAGTCGAGTTTGAGCATTAAGCCTCAACATTTTATGCCAGGAAATGTCTCTGCGCCAAAAGTCGAGGTTGAAAATTGCTATTACACGCCGTGATATTTTGAGGAACAGAAGTCGCGGCCTATAATTTTCGCTTCGATTTTTCTGTAGAATTTCTTCAAGGCTTGCAAAAGCTGTCGCGTATTACTTTCTCTTCCTTGCCACTTTTTTGTTCTTTTCACTCATTCTGGTTTTTGTGTTAAGCTTTTTAGCTCACCTGTCACAAAGTGACATGATGAGCTTTTGTGATCGCTTTCCCTCCGGCACCTGTCCACCGTCCATCCATAAACTTTTACTTTAAACGACATCTCCTCATAAACCGCTTAGCCAAATTCATCCAAACTTCACAGGAATGTTCCTTTAGTGGTCAACTTTAAAAATTGTTCAAAGAATTCAATTCCAAGCAGAACTCTGGTTGCCATGGCAACCAAAATAAAAAAATAAAAATCTTCTTTTAAAATAACCAAAAGAACTAGAGCTTAGATATTTTGCATGAAACATCATCTAGTCAGTGTCAACCAAGTTTGTTAAATTAAAATCCCTGGAGTCAAAACTGGCCCCGGTGTGGGGGGTCATTGATTTTCCCTTATATTTAGATAGTAAAAACTTAAAAAATCTTTTCTTTTAAAAATCCGAAAGCGCTAGAGCTAAGATATTAAGCATGAAACATCTTCTCATGGGTGTCTACCAAGTCCTGGGGTCAAAATTGGCCCCGCCCTGGGAGGTCATTGATTTTCCTTATATGCGTATAGTAAAAAATAAAAAAAACCTTCTTTTAAAAAAACCAAAGAGCTAGAGTTTAGATACTAAGCATGTTATATCTTCTTGTGAGTGTCTACCAAGCTTGTTCAAATAAAAGCCCTGGGGTCAAAATTGACCCTTCCTGGGGGTGGGGTCATTGTTTTTCCCTCTTTGTGTATAGTAAAAACTTAAAAAATCTTCTAATGGGTGTCTACCAAGTTTGTTTAAATAATAGCCCTTAGATTAAAACTGGTCCGCCCCGGGGGCCAATATACGGGTGAGTGATTTCAGGGCCATCATGGCCCTCTTGTTCTGTTTTATGAAGATAAAAATCTAAAATTGTCTTGTATACTTATATAAAATAATATTGTTTATCTTCTGCCACATTACTGTTTTTTTTTCTCTTGATTTTTAATGATTATATTTTAACATTAATTGTATTTCACAGTTTTATATTGTCTTTCACAAGGTGTATACATGTATTTTATATATACCTTTTAAAAATATATTTTTACATACAAATGTATACACAATGTGTTTATTTAAATAAATAGAAAAAATAACTGAGTTTCTATTATTTTTAGCTTAACTCTTCACAGAATATTGGGCTATCCTGCTCATTCTAATGCTGGCATAAGTACAACACTTGCTTTAAATTTTGATGCTATTTTTTACACACCCGAAAAATGTCATCATTTATGCCACAGTTATTGCCCTTTACTTAATTAAAATCAGCAATTTTAAACTTGTCATGCATATTACAATTAGAACTAGGGTCATGAATTTTTATATGAATCAATTTTCAATGCCTGTTAGCATATTATATTGTTGTGCACGTGAGGCTTCATGTGGATTTGCACAGTAATGCCATAGTTTTTGTCCTTTACTAAAATATAATTTTGAATATTCATTCAAATGTGTGACTGAGAAGCTTAACTTTTTGAAGCAGTGTCAAAAAACCATACAAGAATGTTAGTTGTGCTTTTGGTTTTTCACTTGAATACTATTATAGTTAAAGACTTGACTGCGTGATTTTTGTGTAAAAGGCGAGTAGTGGGGGATATGTACCCTATAATTTTCATAAATTAGTTATCATGTTGAAAGTTATTTTTTTCTACCTTTTTAAGTACTAAATTCCATGATTTTATATTTATGCTTTGCAGAAAATCGTTAATTCATATTGAAATCAATAATTATAAAAATCCATGATTTAAGGACCTATCCAATTACTGAGCACATATTTGTAAATACGCACAAATTGTGACAAATTCTAATGTCGTCATTAAATTTTGTTCCAAATGTTTTTCTTTTTAGTTTATCAAACACATTACTGTATACGCTTTTTGTTTATCTTACTGACAAAGCGTGATATTGACATGTACTTTACAAATGACGTTATACCGCTAAATAAAATCAATAATTGTAAGGGTTATGGTATTTATGATCCGTCATTAGTTTATTTTTTATTTATTTTGCAAAACTGGCTTATCAAGAATGAAAAAAGTGACGTTTACGTTGGTATTTTAATTTTTTATGTGCATTTTTGGTAAGTGACAAATACGTTTTGGTGAGCATAGTAAAACATAATCCAACCGAATATGGCACATTCTATGTTCCATTTTTGGCTGAAGATTGTTCCATATTCGACCGAATATGTCACACGTGTGACAAATTACCAAAAAGTGTTTTCCCCTCTAACTTTTTTCATCGTATCTCGAAAAAAAAACAGCAAATAAAACTTGGTTTATATACTCAAATATATATTTGATCATGATATATTTTTTCTTATCTTATGACAGAATTATCAAATGTTGAATGAAAAGATATTATGACTGGGCTTTATTTACACGTACTGCAATGTCAATGTTAATCGTATTTTTTTTTTCATTCAAACGCTACGATTTCCTCTTGATCATGCCGGACAAACAAGTCACAGTCTCCATGATGGGCTGGCCTGAAAACCCATTAAGACTGAGTTGTCTTTATTTTGGATTTATGCTCTGTTTTGCCGAAACATTGCATGTTTTCTCTTGTTGATCAGCTATGTGCTGAACGGATTTGAGATGTTTATTGAAGGCCTCACAGGTTATTTATACTAAATAAAAACAACGATATTTTTCTGTAAAATCATTTTTATTGTAATACGTCAGTGTAAATTTGGACATTAAACATTTATTCTGTCTAAAAATACTTTGTTCAATAATTCTTTACTTTTGAAGTAATACTTGTAGTCTTATGAATCATAACATTAGTCAGAATAAGTCACTTTTTCTATAACATGTGCTGCTGCTTCATAGTATAATTTGTAATCAGCACATCATTATTGCACGGCTGTCTGGTCCGTATTTATAATACAGTAATAATTAAATATTTGTGGTAATTTAATATTTTTATGATAAATATTTATAATGATAATAAAACAATAAAAGATGTGTCTGTCTAAGTTATATACAACTATTTTATTAAGCTTTGTGAAATGATAGTTGCATGGATGATTTTTAAGAATATTTCAAAAAAAAAAAGAAAAAAAAAAGAAAATACAAAGAAAGAAAACAGTTAAATTCCGTCCACATTTTGCTTTATATACAAAGAAAACTTCTGCAAAATACTAAACAATTTTACTGTCAACATAAAAAAGTAATTCTCTGATATCTTTCTTGTATATTCTTCGTCATTGTCGCATTAATCACATAAGTATACAATGTCGATGTTCCTTTTTGGAACTGACTTTTGAGGGTTTTGTTTTAATAACCTTTGGCTCATCATTTTCATCAAGGGACACCATAAACATTTTTTTACCTTGCCCAGCTTTTATACTGTATATATCAAAGTTTTCGTCATAAATTCTTATTTCAGCATTTTTCCATGTATCCGAATGTTCTTCCTCTACGTGCGATATAATAGCTTGCAAAAGGCGCCTGAGAACTTCTGTATTTCTGTCGTTCTCTGTTCCTTCATTTCCACAAAACTTTATTATGGCTTTACCAATGGACCTTTTGTTGATTTCTTCACATATGATATTATACTCCTGTTGCTAGAATAAAAGTAAAGAAATGTCAAATTCATAACCGAGACATTTACACAGAGAATACCAAGATCAATCATTACTTCAATGACAATTTTAGTAAAGATATTCCTTAACTGTTTCTTTATTATGTAGGTTTTGATGATGATGATGTACTAAAGTAGATAATGATGTACTGGTGATGATGATGATGATGATGATGTACTAAAGTAGATAATGATGTACTGGTAATGATGATGATGATGATGATGTACTAAAGTAGATAATGATGTACTGGTAATGATGATGATGATGTACTAAAGTAGATAATGATGCACTGGTGATGATGATGATGATGATGATGTACTAAAGTAGATAATGATGTACTGGTAATGATGATGATGTACTAAAGTAGATAATGATGTACTGGTAAAGATGATGATGATGATGTACTAAAGTAGATAATGATGTACTGGTAATGATGATGATGTACTAAAGTAGATTATAATGTGCTGGTAGTGATGATGCTGATAATATCCTGATAATTATAACGATGATTATAATGATGTTAAGGATACTGATGATAATGACGTACTGATAGTGGTGATGATATTATTTGCATGTTTATACTTGGGGAGGCGTATGCGTCACAATCGGTAATCTAGATGCGTAACAAAGCTAACACGTCTGGGAACTACGTCCCTACATTTATTTTATGTTCAAGAAACATATAAAAAACAAATACATATTTTTTTGTATGGATATTAAGCATAAGAACTGTTGTTATAACAATTTTAAAAGCAGCATGCCTCAAATGTATATCAAATTTTATAATAATTTATTTCAAGCGTTATATCGAATTGAGTTCTTTAAATACTTTTCAAAAGTTTAATTAAAGAAATCACTTATCTGAAGGCTTGCGGTTTTATTTTACCTTGTCTTCATTGTTAATATTTATTGATGTATCCGGATGATCTTCTATACTGGCTTGGTTCCTAACAAATGTTTCCGCCATGTCAAAAAATATATCCGCTGTGCTTCAGTTTGATATCTCTGTAAAAATATTATAGTCAGCAAAGAATGAAATTTACCACTAACGTTGTGATAAAGCCAGTGTGTATATATAAAACTTACATCATGTCTATAGCCCCACGCCTTAACTACGGATTGTTTACGTAAACACAGATAACGTTTCTTTTCCAAGATATCTATTATTATTGCTTGTCTAATATGGAAACTGATAGGAGACAAAATGTTTTGGACCAGTACTCTATCATATTATTCAGCTGAAAACTCTATACATACACAGTACTGAACGATATGACTGGCTCCCCATTCCTATAAAGGCAACAAACAAACAAAATGAATAAATCACAAAAAAAGCAAATATAAAACCCAAAACTACCACCACGAACAACTCTCAACCCTCCCCCAAACAAACACAGCGTGGAAAATATATTTGTTTTGTTTGAGTGCTTGTTGATTCTTTGTGTTAGGGCAAACGCTAGTTATCGCTAGGTGCAAGGTCTAAAATAGATTTGCTTCCAGTTGGAAACGAAAACCTCCAAAGTTTAAAACTGTTAGGACATATTTACAAACAATATGCAATCGCATGCATCTTTACGATCTTTTTTCGCCAGTCTTCGGATAAGGCCGTCAAAGTATGTAATACGAAAACAGAGAAAGATACGGTATTTCGGTCAGACTGACGCTACAAAATTTAAACATGTTGAACATAGTTTGGGGACCTTTCTGTTGAAAATGTGTCAGAGTTAAATCGTATACATATACATGCACAGTGCGTTAACTGGAGTGCAGGTATTAATTAGTTACCCGCACTCCTGAGCACGCCCATTGATTGGTCCATTTTTGCTGGGGTTTACTTACAGAAATATGATATTCAGATGCTCATTCATTGGTTACCTTTTCTGGGGTTTCATATTGTGACAATAAGGAACGTGTTTTTATGTTTGACTATGATACAAAAGAGAAAGAACACCAAAACACTCGGCAATCTGATTAATACTCGGGGGCTACGCCCCCTCGTACAAAACAGATAGTCTCGTGTTTCGGTGCTCTTTCTATTACCTAAATGCTGGTATTTACTATTTACCGAGTTAGTTAATTTCATATTGAAAAAAAGTCGACTGACATTAAGTAAAATTATAAAATTGTTAAAGTTCAAAATAGATACCTATTGACGACGAATCTGGTTATAATTGTTTGTCAGTGGATATATTTAAATTGTTTCTTACAGCATGAAAATGATTAAGTTGCAGTAATATTTACAAATTTCAAATAAACTTGAAATATTTGTAAACAAATATGTAATTCTAGCGCATCATTTCATTTCTAATTTTACTTCAATTTGTATTTTCCCTAACTTTTTATTTGAAACATATGATTTTTCATTTAACAATGTTTCATTATGTTTACCATACATTTTATACCCATCGAGATTTTACTAATCTACAAATCGAAACTAACCTTTTTCAGTGTGTTTTATTTCTCGGGTCAGGTAAGTTGATAAATTTTCTTATGAAATCAAAGGGTCGGTAATAACAAAATAATCAAAGGGGAAACATTTATCACACTTCAGGAATACGTAATACAGATTAAGGGTTACATAAATGTAAATGAACGATTTTCCATAACCAAAGCGATTGATTAAGAATACCTTTCAAAAAAATTGTTAATACATGTACATGTATATGTTTAATATGTTAACGCATACCGCAGTAATAATTTTAATAATTCAATTGGATATTTTCTCTTAAAGCAGTTCAGCAAACAGTACCTGAAGCCGAGAAGTTGAAGCCTACACCATGGGAAATAAACAATCCCGATCTTCGTCATCTGTGAGTACGATTCAGATACTTGAACCTTTTATAAGCATCATGCTTTGAGTTAATTCCATCATATAAATGTATACCTTATTATGTAAAGCTTTGGACAAATATATTATGAAACATGTAATTTTAGAATTTCACGAAATTACAACTCCACGTAAGACTGCATTAGTGAAAGGTTATTGAAATACTTTTGTCATGTCTTTCTTTTCAACACAGTGTATGTATTAAAATGACTTAATTAAAGGAGATTTGAATAAGTCCACAAATAAATTCTTTTTTTCCTTCTCTTTTTTCCTCTACATAAACTCCGGTAGTTCAGGTACATATGAACTAAAATATTTATACAGATAGTAACGATTTACCGTCACGAACGTGCATAAATATAAATTAGAAAATTATACATTACAAATTTCTATACGATTTTAAATACTTATTGATATATGAATAGAACTGTTCTCATCCGAAAATGTTAAAGTTAAAAGAAATTTATCTGTATATGTATGTAAAGCATTTGAGATAAGAAGATGTTCATATCATATTTAGATTTCAAATTCTAGCAAATTATCTGTAAACAAGGACCTTAAGACAAAATGTAAAATATTGGGACGGTATATAATTAGGGTTCGAGTGCATTGAGCTTTTGAATGATGGACTGTGCATGGTTGTACTGCGGCGCATAAACACTAATTATACATATTCATTATTCAGTCTTACAAGCTGACATAAAGACAACTAATATTTATTTATAGTAAACATCTAATTGTTGATTTCACCATGGTTTTAATAAAAGTCATGCTTTTATATTTGACGTCAAATGGCGTATATTAACTTTTACCATTGAATAAGAAAATAAAGCACGCAGCACTGCCATGTAATTGTAAATAAGAGATAGTTATAAGTGTATTAGAAATAAAAAATATGTGGGTGGGTGGGTGCGTGCGTGCGTTGGTGCGAGTGTGTGTGTGTGTGTGTGTGCGTGCGTGTGCGTGTGCGTGTGCGCGTGCGCGCGCGTGTGTGTGTGTGTGTACTGACATTGTAGAAAATTGTTTTATACAAATAGTACCAAAAATAAGAAAATGCAAAATATTGTTTATACTTAGCGTATATTTCATATCAATCTTAATAACCATTTAAGATTAAATTATGAACAAAACAGATAATTACAAAACAGACACATTTTTTTAGGAACACAACTATTCGGTTTTTCTTGTCTCAGACAAGATATTTCGTAATGGAAGGGAAGTAAGTACGAACAAAATGCATTCAAAGCTTGTAAGAGTTGTGTATCTTGCTTTTGCATCTTACTACTTTTACACAAAATTGACACATTTATTATTGACTAATGTCAATATCAATTAAAATGTTTATATACCAAATGTGACTATGAGCTAAAATGGCTGTGTCAATTGTGCATTAGAATAAATTTTCTTCTAAAGCTTCTTCTATGTAGCCATGACCTCTACCAATTTCCCAGAAGTTAATGTGTGAATTATATTGAAGAAAAAATCAACAACAAAAAACAAAACAATCTCTTTAATATTTGATCAGAGTTTCTAAAAATAATGATTGAATGAAATGATTTGTTTCAGATATCTACAGATAGCTACGTTCGTGAGGTTCGCCATGTTCGCAAAGGAATGTCAGACAGAGACAGGCGACTTTATAATTATGCAAGAATAAAAATTGCAGAAGAAGATCTAGAAGATGTTGAAATAACCGTTGGTTTTGAAGATCAAGATGCCGTTGTTCTTCAGGGCGTCAATAACCCATCTGGAAAAGTCTACATCGGATTGGATTACAATGATATTCCACAGCTGGTCTGGAAAAAACGTGGCTTTTGGAGATCAGTAAAAAGATTCTTCATCGGATGTTTCAGCACGTTGAAGAGAGTCTTGTTAAGTGCTTTATCGATTGGCGCGTCCGAACCAATGAAGGCTATTACTTTCGGATAGCACAAAGAAATTTTTAACTGTATACAAATGTTCGGCTAATTTTGAGGTCAAAAATAACATATGTGGCAAAATATATAAAATTTTGAAGCTTGAAAAATTAAATGTTTTCCAACTTATTCTATCAATAATCATAAACACATATCGACGAGAAGAGAAAAAAATATAGATTAAACAAATCGATACTGGCAAAGGCATGCTAAAATGAGCAGTGTTTTTTTTTATTGATCATGCAATCATTTTTCTTATCATTAAAAGTTCAATTTCAATGCCCTTTGTTCGTTTTAATTTAATTAAAGCGGAATGGGGGTATGTTAGACCGAAATATCGATTAAGTGTGCACATGTATAATATTGATTCGGAAAGTGCAATAAAATATATCTTATCGCCCCAGCTGTTTAATGACGCAATAACACTCAAATATACCGCAATAGCTTCTCAGATGTTTCGCTTAATTGAAGTTAGTTCACTTAGTGTTGTATTTTTTTCACTGCAACGCCGATTTCATGATATCAATAAAACAGGGATGGACGTCTCGAAAGCCTCCTAGCCCTTACGACGTAAGATCATTGTAGCATTTTTTTTCCGATTGTCTCGAAGAGTTCGTAATTTACGAAGCATCGTAAAATACTAAATATCTCGTTACGTTATTGTAAAAAACGACCCCATAAAACATCGTAAGTCTACGATAACGAATATGATTGGAATATTATTGGATTTCATCTTGTCGGTTTAGTCTCATTTTCATTTCAAGAGTTTTAAAATCCATATCAAATGCATATTATACTCAATCAAACCTCTTTTTCGTTTTTTCGTTTTTTTAGTTAGGCATCCCATGCTTAACTGAAAAAAGCTGGAAAAGACCACTTGTTAACAACATGCAAGGTGTGTTCGCTCATGAAAGTGGAGCATTGTTTAACATAACCTTTTTTCAGTTGCCCAAACACCGCCCCGACAAGTGGTTGCAGATAATTTGCGCAATGGGAATGAATGCAAATAGAGAGAAATGTTGTTTTCCTCAATTGCTCGTTCAATTACATGTATAGCTATCGACACATGTGACGAATGACCGTCAAAACTAAGAACTGTGGTCGTGTAGAGCCAAAAAACTTTAATTAAGGATAACCTCGCCAAACCATTTTCCCCCCAATGTTATCTGTAATCCATCCCTTTTTCCTGAAATGCCCAAACTGTACCAGCATTTGCGTAGCTGGTCTTGAACCCGTGAATTGACTTTACAGTGTTTCCCTTAATGAAACTTGAGTTTGGACACAAAATGAGCCAAATCATCGAAGCACTTACCACTGTCTCGGACAACATTCGAGCCCGGACGGCAATTTCTGGTTAGTGGCTCTTAACCCCGTCCCACTCGTCTTTGCCCGCTGTAATTTTTTGACAATTCGTTAGAATTTTTGTGCGTCTGCAAGGAATGCTAGTCATGAGAAGAATTTGTTTTCTACTTAAACCTACACCAAACGTGTTTCTGATTAGTAGGACGGACCAATCCTGTTCTCGATTTCAAGTGGCATTGCTGGAGGCCGTCCGTGTTTAACAGACTTCATTACCTCAAATCGCCAGAAAATACAGTCGCCAATCATATTTCACGTTTATCCGTTAAACGGGTACGGTCGTTTTTAGCGGGTTTAGCCGAGGTAATATTTGACAAAGGGGCGGAAAAGTTAATATACAGCTTAGGGAAATAATTAATTGTATCATTTGGAACTGTATAATACGGTGGCACAAAGGTGACAAGCGTGTGTTTTTATTTATCTCGCGCACGAGATACTATGTCGTGGCCAAGGGTTTCTAAGTCGTGGCCACGAGATAGCAAAGTCGTGGCCACGATACTATGTCGTGACCACGAGTTACTAAGTCGTCGCCACGAGATACTATGTCGTGGCCACGAGATACTATGTCGTGGCAACGAGTTGCTAAGTTGTGGCCACGAGATAGCTTAGTCGTGGCCACGAGATACTATGTCGAGGCCACGAGATAGCTAAGTCGTGGCCACGAGATACTATGTCGTGGTCACGAGATAGCTAAGTCGTGGCCACGAGATACTATGTCGTGGCCACGAGATAGCTAAGTCGTGGCCACGAGATACTATGTCGTGGCCACAAGTTACTAAGTCGTGGCCACGAGATAGCTAAGTTGTGGCGCACGAGATACTATGTCGTGGCCAAGGGTTTCTAAGTCGTGGCCACGAGATAGCAAAGTCGTGGCCACGATACTATGTCGTGACCACGAGTTACTAAGTCGTCGCCACGAGATACTATGTCGTGGCCACGAGATACTATGTCGTGGCAACGAGTTGCTTAGTCGTGGCCACGAGATAGCTTAGTCGTGGCCACGAGATACTATGTCTAGGCCACGAGATAGCTAAGTCGTGGCCACGAGATACTATGTCTAGGCCACGAGATAGCTAAGTCGTGGCCACGAGATACTATGTCTAGGCCACGAGATAGCTAAGTCGTGGCCACGAGATACTATGTCGTGGCCACAAGTTACTAAGTCGTGGCCACGAGATAGCTAAGTTGTGGCCACGAGATAAATAACCAATCAGATTACACCATTTATATGAATTTCCCTAATTAACTAGACATGTGCTATAGTACAAGGATGCCCCTATTTCATCAGCCTGTAAAAGTGCCATTTATACAACTTATTGACTTGTTTAGCGTCACTGTGACCCTGATTTTTGAACCAATGACCTCGAAATTATTATATGTCATCTATGATCAGGTGCAATGATCTTTCTGGGTTATATAAACCATGGCTTATCCCTTTTAAATTATTCATCAGACAACGATTTTACCTTATAGACTATCTACTGCTCCTGGGCAATGTCCCTTCCAAATAAAATAAACCAGGACTTATTCCTTCTTATGTTATCGTATAAAAAAGGTTAACAGGCCGTAGTACGTACAAACTTGTTCACAAAATTGTCCTATAGTCAAAATTAATGTCTGATGGGCTTTGGAAGGTGACTTTCTAATATGATCCTAAAGACAAGTTCAAAATGAATATCTTCAGTATTTTCAAAGATTTATGTTGCCAGGGCTGGGCGTATCCTACAAAATGTAAACAATCGCCGCCATCTTGGAACGAAAAATGATTGTTTTTGTTTATAACTCTTTTTGTTGAAAATGACTGAAAACCAGATATACTCGTATGTATTAACACGCTACACTATTTTCCGCTTCGTTCGGTATATGTTGCTTGCACAACTATTTTGTTAAACAAAAGTTACTCGAAGCGGAGCAGAATGAAAAAGTGTGGATACGACGCAGTTCATATTGCTTAATCTATCGTTTCTTTCTTCAAATCAATTATATACTCGTTTTCAGAGTTCACCATAAACTTCAAAACATAATTTTGCATCATTTACTAAACTTTCATTAAAAAGAAATGTTTATTTTCAAAGAAAATAATGATTTTTACGAAATGATACGACGCAGTTGAAAATTAAGTATGATACGACGCAGTTATATTTTTGGCAGTCTTTTCAAAAGGGATAATTTTGGCAATATATTTCTATTTTATGGAATAATCACTTGCGCTAGATGAAAAAAACTCCAGATCATTTGCGGTGTATAGCAATGTTCTGTTGCTTTTAATTATTTAGAATACATTGTGTCATGTCCAATATAACATTTATTTTTTCAGTTAACATGAAGTTAATGATGCAAAATTATATTTCGAAGTTTATGGTGAACTCTGAAACAAATATAATTGATTTGAAGGATATAAAATAGTGAAAAACAGAAGTTATATGAACTGCGTCGTATCCACACATTTTCATAAAAATTCTGCCCCGCTTCGAATTGCAAGTTCGCTATAACTTGTTTTACAAAATAGTTGTGCAAGCAACATATACCAAACGAAGCGGAAAATAGTGGAGCGTGTTAATACATATATCTGTTTTTCAGTCATTTCCAACAAAAAAGTTATAAACAAAAACATACGTGTTTCGTTCCAAGATGGCGGCGTTTGTTTACATTTTGTAGGATACGATCCCAGCCCTGATTGTATGTAAAAGTAAGTTGTTAAGTTTAAAAAATTCATAATATGTATAGTGAATTCTGATTGGTTAATTATCTCGTGGCCACGACTTAGCTATCTCGTGGCCACGACTTAGTAACTCGTGGCCACGACATAGTATCTCGTGGCCACGACTTAGCTATCTCGTGGCCACGACTTAGTGGAGAGATATTTTATTTTGTAAGCTTTATCAAATATTTGATAAATGTAAATAAATATTTGAGCCTTTCAATTTTGCTGACTTTGTTAACAAGACTTGATCTGAATAAAATTTGAAACCACACTTTATTTCTTTAACTTTTAAATTGAAAGTACAGAGAAAAATTTAATGAAGTACTGCATTTTAATTAAAAGCCTGTAAACGGCTGTTAACAGTTTAATTCAATCGTAACTTTTCAGCAGTAAAATATGGGTGTTCCTAAAACATTAAGGTGGTGAATTCACTAACCTAACATGAATTGTTAACGGTAAAAGTTTGTTTGTACCGGGAGATAAGTTTGGAAAAACACAGATTTGACGAGTGAAATAAGCAAAATGTTAATGACTGCATTTGTAATTTGATACTTTAAATGATACATTTCGATTGTTTTATCGAATTATGAACAAGCATTAATTCTGAAAAGGGGATTTGCAAATTAAAAATAGTTTAAACCAATGCGTGTTATTTGCAACGCGTCTGATCAAAAAACTTTTATGTCGCAACAGATGAAAAAAAGTATGTTAAACAGCGGTATATAAAGATTTTGAAACCAGAAGAAGTAAGGTCAATGCCTTCGAATCAAACTTTTAATAGACGATAAACACCGCTGAGGCCGATATGATGTCTTAAATAAATGTCAATATGTATGGTCGTACGAAAAGTAAATTAAGTTAAATAAAGCAATTATCAGCACTTATCAGAAAAAATGTATCAAAAACAATGTACAATAGCCTCTTTATTAATAAAATAATACTTCCATGCCATGTATTAAATCAGATAAACATCCCATAAACTCTTTGGAGAATCGATCATAAGATTTTTTAATCAGTATCGATATATCGTCAGATGCCTTTGTATCGCCGCTATACAAGTATTGTTTCTTTAATATTTCAAATACTACATTTCATATACATCTATTGGCGAATACCATGAATCTTATGAATCTTACGTTAAACAAATAAAGTAATACGTTTAAGTTGAAATGTCAAACAATTAAGTCATGCCATTTAACTATAGATTTGAAATTATAATTGTGTATAGCTTTTATCCAACGATCAGGGCAAACTAGTTGTATGTACCGTCTTTATCTATTACATTCTTAAGCAGGTATGGTCTTTTACAAAGAATCTATTGACTACTAGTTGTACTTAAGAAGATTTTTTTAATCAATGAGCAAGTACAATGTATTGGTTATTGCTTCTTTATATTTGATACCAAAGTATACTCTGTATAGGACATAACACAGGTAAACTTGATAGATCGGCACCATTCTCTTCGTGTTTGTTATACAGAATAACCTGTGCAAATAAACACCATAAGACTAGAAGCATGTGATACCTTTCTTGTTTGATCAGATAATACTTTTAGTGTCATATAAGATGTCCTTACACTTTAGAATGTTGTATGGAGAAAGATTCGACTTACATAATGCATTTATGAATAACCGGAAGTTCTATCTGTAGCATGATGAGTAAACTGTAACATGATACTCTAGGTGCGTACAGCTCCTTTATAATAGAGAGTTCCCTAGATCTTAATACTACCATCGCGGACACTGATATGTAAACACATGGAATATAGTTTAGATAATAAACGTAGTTAGAGCACATATATATTTATGTCGTTCATAAACCCATGACATAACACTATCTATTACATTCTTTTGTTATACAATCTCACAAAACATATTATGCAGGAACTATATAGGGTTCACTTTGTTTCATCCCCTCTTGTCCGTTCCTTCTGATGACATCTTTAAAACCAAAATACATATTTCACTTGATTAATAATACAAAGGGTCACAAACATAGTAAGCCAATTTCACAATGCATAATATCATTCTGACAAAGTGTTGCCCATTTTTTCATTGAAAAATATCCGCGTGTGAGTATAAATATTTAATTTAATATATAGAGAGAGAGACGGTCATGGGTCAAATTTAAACTCTAAATTGCTTTTTCAAACAGTTATGCTTCTTTTTACTTAAAAAAAAGACTGGATATGTACAAATATTTTATTTGATTTTCATAATCTTCCCGAAATTAACATATTTAAAATGTGTAAAATAAAAGTCTGAGTCGTCAATACTCAGTGGATACTCTGCTTCAAAAGCAAGTGTTATTTTCATAAACATTTAAACATTAAATTGATGAAACTCTTTAATATGTTTAATAAATAAATATCATTGAAAATTCCAAAGCTCAAATTAAAAGATAAATTTGACAGCACATCACGTATTTTATATGTTCGACACGATATCGTTCATCTGTATCCTGATTCATAAAACAATATGTAAAACAAAACAAACTGAATCAAAAACTGTTATGTGCCGAGCTAAAGTACAATACGGTACGTAATGGCAAATATCGCAGGATTTATAGGTATTGGGGTATCTGGAGTGGCTCTTCTGTTTGCCATTACAGCTCTGGCGGCTGACAAATGGGAAAGTGGCGATGTCATAATTGAGACAATCAGTGTTAAGTCTTTAAAGGTTGGATTGTGGGAAATATGCTACAAAGCAGGATTAAAATCCACCTGCTACGATATTAAAGATGCTTCTAAAAGTAAATACACTTCTTTTCTTCAATCATTTAAGAGGTTTCTACATTCAATTCTAACACTCCCTGTGATTTTGTCACAGTTTAACAGTTTTTCTTCCTTGTGTATAGGGGCAAATCATGACTTTGTGTAGTGTTAGAATTGTTGATATGAAAATATTATGCGTTCGTAGAAACGAGTTTATATTACTTGTATTTAATTAGAGATTTCTTCTGTATAGGAACATCTACAGAGTTGCTTCCCTTATCTGTATACAAAGAACATGGTTATCAAGTTTCTGTGCCTCGGAATGAATTTGTCATAATTTTCTTTAAATTAAATTAAACCGTGTTTCTACAAAATACGCTTAAAGCAGCGACCCTCCAGAATAATGTTTATTTTCATGAAAATTTTGAAAATGAAATTAAATGTACATTACTGTATAGTAGACCGAAAGGAATCATTTTACACATAATCAATGGCACTTACAACCCACGTTTATTACAAAAAGAGGCCAAAATATGAAAAAATGTCCTTACTGCATTAGTAACGCAGTAGAAATATACAAATGTAGTTACACATAATGAAAAATTTACCATTAATCGCTCATAGCATGTATATTATTACTTGAATCTTTCTATGTAACCTAAAATCTTAGTACGTTTTTCACAAGTTTGATTAATTGAAATATTTTCGCTCATCTGGAGGCATGCTGCTTTAAGTTCTCATCATATTTAAATCAAACGATTTGTGCTTAAAATCGAGAGAAATAGAATACTTAAAGTAAGACCAAAACGGCAAAATTGAAAATGTTGCAGGCTCGGTTTGATTGAGCCTGTTCATCGAAAGTACTGGAAAGTGCAAGATACTGTCCGCGCCCCCTAGCACCGGCTTAAACAGTATTTAAGATTTGATCCTATGCTAGCTATTTTGATGACATAAAATGTGACGTCTTGTCCCACCTTACAAAAATCATTCAAATTCACGAAAACGTGACTTATTTGTGTTTGAACTGAGCCTGTATGTTAGAACTATTAATAACAGAAAGTCATAGTAAAATGAACTCTTCGTAGTTAAAATGGTAGTAGTCATCCATTTAATGTGTCCCGTGCATTGCATAATTTTGTCTCTGTTCCGCACCTTGAATGTCTAACTTTTCGGATAACATTTTGACAGGAACAATCGCGTTACACGCACCTGCTCAGAAACATTTGTTCGCGGTTGAACTGAAATTATTCGACTTTGCCGACACACATTTTTAAATGTACATAGCGGTGTCAAAAATCATGATTGACATCGAATAAGTGACATCCTGTATTACGCCATGCATAGGATTCAATGATCGGGCATCACATAAATATGGAATCTATACGGCAGTCATGGGTGTACATTTATTACGCTATAGTCATTGAAAGGATATCACGCTTTATTGTCTTTAAAATCTATATACATTTGTATATCTCGGTCTCCACATTTGATCATGTGTATTTTAACTTCTATAATTCATAGACTACGCCCCTCCTCATACACCAAATTAATATCGACTTTCGCTCCATCTCTTGCCCTTTGGCTCCACTACTTTATACAAATTTAAGACATCAATCAGGAGTAATTTATGTTGCACGACGGACAAGTTCATATTACGCGTTAATATTCTTTTCTAAAACACTTTTTTTAAAAATCCGAAGGGTATGACATTTTGATGGTTTTTAAGTTCTACATTCTACAAATCGTCGTTCACCTCGTCAGGGAAAAAAGTTATCCCGGATTTAATATAATTTTCTTTTTGCAACAGCTCAAACCATTTGAAGCCTAAAACAATCCTACACGGAACTACATTTTTTGTTTTTGAAAAAAATACAATTCAAATGGCTTTAAAGACAAAATACATAAACAATAATTGTTTAAATCGGCCTTCCGCTCTATCTCGGAAATGTTGTTTGCTCGTTTTTCCGTACACCACAATTTTGAAGTGAAGCAACAGTTTGCCAGGCGTGATCGCGGGCAGATTATGGTTACAAAATTTTTCGGTCCGAGCCGCAAACTCATAATTGTCACGTGACACCCATAATCAGTTGAAATGATAGTTGTTTTACTATAAATAGCAAGTACAAATGTTGCTGCAATGCAGCAATGGAGAAGCTCCGCGCAAAAAATGCGCTCATTACAGATACCTTACCAAATTATTCCTACGCACAGGTCATGTAATATTCAGATTAAGTACTATTGTAGATTTTTTCCGAATGTTTTGTAAACCATTTTTTGCTAATTATACTTATCTTAAGCACTGTCCATAATTAAAAAAGAGGGGCCAGATATTTAATTTAAAAAAATGCTTTCATTGATGCCTCTCTGGTAAGGAAAGTAATTCCATTGAATACAAACAAGACTTACAAGACTTGTAAATGTTATGTGACATGACTACTGTGTTCTGTTTGTGTCACTACTGTAGTCAGAAACATAAGATGATAAAAATATCAAAATCTGTTTTTTTATTATTATAATTGTAACAAATATACAAATAGTAACAAATAATATAGTAATATTACATGCATTTTTTTCATGTCAAATTTAATAGAAAATGGTTTCTTTCAATACTGATAGAAGACTGTTACATGAATTTTAGGCAGGTATGAGGAAATTCACTATGCGAGTCAGAGATATAAAAGCTATTTGACATTGGAGATGTATAAAAAGCTATTGTTAATTGATTTATTGGGAGATCAATACACTTTTTTGCTGAATTGCTTAAAAGAAACAATACACCTCATGTTCAAACTGCAGATAAAAGTTTCTGTTGTTACCAATTATCGATCTATCTATCTATAGTATATGCTTAATGAGGGTCCATCCGCCTATCTGTCGAGTACGGACCCCGGACATATCACCAGTCGTGCCCTTAAAGAGCTAATTTTGATGCGCAAAGTGTTGATAATTTACCTCCGTGCATTACCAATATTACTAAAGAATACTAAAGTTATAATTATTTCGAAACAACCAATATATCAACATGTTATTATTAAACATTTAGTTTCATAAATATAAATTAAGAATAATTATCAAAAGCAAAATTATTAAAGACTTTGCCTGAAATCTTCTTTATATTGACAAATTCAATCACTAATAGTATACTTGATATGCTGTGTGTAAATGTAATTCAAAATGTAACAAATTATACTTTCATGTACTACTAAACAGGGAAATAACAAATTTATAACCTAAGTGTCAAAAATCAGACATTTATAGCTATTTATAGCTTTCGAATTCATGTACAGCAGAACTGGTTTCCGGTTCTCATACATTAATATGACACGCTGCGAATCACCGAAGGGGGGACCAATATAATAATCGAAAGGAGTTATAGAATCCGAATTTATTTTTAGCTGTAAATCGAAGGGATTAATTGATAAAATCCGGGTCCATGGACAAAAAAATAGTAAACACAAATAGATCCGCGCCTGTGGGCGCGGAGCAGTAACAAGTGCATTAATGAATATACTTGAATATGAGATATGTAGTTGACAATGAATGATAAGAACAGACAAACAGACGGTTTGGCCTGATCTACTCTGTCCATTCTTTTTACCGACCATTTTTAAAATGTATCTTTAATTACAGTTTTAACAGTAACGGACGAGCAGAAAAACTCTGTCAAAGCATGTAAGGCAATGATATTTTTGGCTATTTTCACGACGACGGGAGCTATTGTGTGTGCTGGGCTTATGATGTTTGTTATGAAGGACAAAAAGACATTGTCCTTTGCAGCTGGAGGCCTGAATTTCGCGTCTGGTGAGTAAGTTCATTTGTCCGCACAAATCACGTAGGTACCAAAATGAAAATGTTCTCATGTAGTTAACTAACTTCTAATACTAGTAGATGTATTTTTACTAAAAAGGATCGTTACATTCATTTATATCAAAATGTGTAAACGTCTAAATCCGTCTGTCCTATTACTGTTGCTTTTATTCCTGGAGAAAATAATAATAATCATAATAATTCCTTCAGGATAAGGTTCACTTAATTATCATTTCAGAAATGTTATAATTTATATCATTTAGAATTAAGATAACTTTATTACAATTCCAGGATTTTTCTTGATGATTGCCATGGCAATATATTTTGATAAAGTGAAAACAAGCGGATCAGATTTAGATTACGGCTTTGTCCTCGACATCATCGCTTGGCTGGCGGCATGGGCAGCTGGTGGAATCTTCATCGCTTCAAAGTTTTTAACTATGGACTGTCAATAAGAACAGAAACGTGTTTAGTAGCTGCTTGAAAGATATAAGTATAAAAGCTAAACAAAAACAAGAATGTAGAAACAATATCATATTTATTTGTATGACAGTCTACAACTGTCTACATGCTTTATTGGTTTAAATTTTATTCAGAATATTTATACATGTGTAAGAAACATCATTACAATAATTATAGATTTTGGCTGAAAGTAAAAACCTATAGAAGCCATTATCTAACGACTATAGTCTTCAATGTCAGTGGTGGTTGTAATTAACCGGTTAGCAGAAAGTTAACACATTTAATAATGCAAGATTGAAAAGAAATAAGTTTTTGATGTTAAGGGCATTTTTTTTTAGAAAGTTTTGATGAAAAAGACAATAAAAAGTAAGAATCAATAACAACAACAAAGAAAAACCAACAAAAAACAAAGATGAATATAATTATGCAACATAGCAGTAGAGGTCAGACATTATATAAATATTTCCGAATAATCAATAATTCAATATAAAAGTAAACACATTTGAAATGCTCTATGTTTTGTTATTATAAATGCACAAGCAGAGTGTGAGTCATAATCAGGAATCTGTCCAGCTGCATGATGTTTCTACAGAGGATATCTAGTTCATGCTGATACAAAAGACAGTTTAGACTAAAAATGACACGCTGTCTCTGTTTGACCACAAGCGCATATGTGTGATTCAGAATTTTTTTGTTCCGGAAAAAAATCATCATTTAAGGAACTACAGCCAATTCTTAAGCGAGTATGCAAAATCTGAATTGTGCATGGCCCTGTGTTAATGCAATTAGGGGGTTTACGTGGGTTAGAAAGAAGTCGCTTAAATTGTTGTACAGAGTATTCTAAGGGAGTGTGTTTCAAGAACGAACGCTAGATAGGATAAGAGAGTTTTGATACAATAGATAGGAGGAATAGATGAAGAATTTCTAAAGATGTACTCGTATCTTTCATTTTGACGTGTTGGAAGTAAAGAGTACATGTAAGTAAGTAGGGCATAGTCTATTACTTATTTTGTAAATAAAGACCAGTTTTAGATAATAACGTCGTGATGATAAAGATTGTCATCCTTGGTCGTCATAAAGTTTTTCAAGAGAACAAAGTTTAATAGCACCTGTGACTATCCTGGCAGCATCGATTTGAATCATATCTAATTCATGCTTGTCACTAGCTGACGAGTTATCAAAAAGTATACCTCCATACTCTAATGATGGACAGATAAATATTAAATACATGTATAATGTTTTCTAATGTATTTCTGTCGAGTTTAAATTTTAGGTTTCGAAGAATATTGATCCTTGTCCACGCTTTGTTTTAATATGTTCCAGATGATTTGACCATGGACAATGGTTTTATAGAACAACTCCTAAATATTTATAAGACGAAGATTTAGAAATGACTTGGTTTTGCAGTGGTACTTGTGGATGTTGAGCTTTCCGTGAAATAGTCATAGATATAGTCTTTGCTGGACCAGCCATTCTTTAGACCATTGGTAAATCTTTTCTTAATCAGAGTTTTTAACATTTGCTACATTTTCGGCGATATCAACGATAAGAGATAAACGGGTGTCATCTGCAAAATTTTAAGAAGAGAAAATGACGATTCTATTATTACTAATGACAATGGTCTCCTTTTTATGAAATGGACATACGTTTGCAACCTTCCATTGAGTACGAAAAGTATCGATAGACAGACACAAATTTACCATCTGACAGTGGAACGACTAATTGGGACGATATTTCTTTCAAAACGCGATTGTCAATTAAATCGGGACCAACTGCTTTCCCAAGGGAAAGTGTTCGATATTAGAGGGTTCAAAGTGAAATGATGATAGACTTGAGGAGAAAGTATAAACTTGTGGACTTGGTTCCCAGTTAGGTTCGGCGAACGAATAAATTATTAAAGCATCAGCCTTTTCCTCATTGTATGAAATATCCGAGTCATTGAGCCGAGAGGGAACAGAGCTGATCTGACTATAGAGGGAGATAAACAATTTTACTGTGGCCCACCATGACCTATTGGATGTTTTATTAGAGAGATTCAGGGTTAATTTAGCTGTATATTCTTATGTAACATTTTTATAGGGAAACTATTTTATTTCTAAGTTGGCGGAATTTCGACCAATCCGAAATTCGATTAAGAAGCTTAGCCTGTTTGAAAAGATGCTAACGCTTACGGATTAGTCGTTAAATTTCACCTGATATCCACTTTGGTAAATATTATTGTTGCGAATGCTCTGCAAATCAAATTGTTCTAAAGAGTATCTAAATGCATTATAATCACCTCGTTTGTACAGCCATATTTGACGGGAGTGATTCTGACATTTTGGTTTAGTAAATTTAAAAAGTGCAAATGTTGGACAATGATAATGTATTAGATTTTTTTAATCAAAGACTAAGCTGGTTCACAAACGTCACTTAGTACCAAACAATGTATCTTTTAAGAAGAATAATTAAGATGAATGACGGAAGAAGACATTTCAGTGAAGTGAGTTTGGATCATTGATACACTGAGCAAGCCCAAACTTGGTACAAATGTAAAAGTTTACGTTTAGATGCCGGTATGGCAGGACTGAGGTTAAAGTCACCAACAATAGGAATGTTATGGAAGCATAAACCTGCCCTTTTAACTTGTGTCTTATGACTTGCGACTTATGACTTGTGACTTTTGACTTCTGATTTGTGACTTACCTGTTTGACATAAATCGGCGCGTTTTCGAATGAAATATGGCAGACGAAAACGCTTTATATTCTAGAACATTTTTCCCATTTAATTAAGGCGTTTTATAACACAGTCTCTTCTAAAATCGTATTTTATCATCTGGATTAGCTGCGACTTGAAGGCTGCTCAACAGTTCGTATTGTCGACCTTTGTTCTGGTTTTTATTCAAAATGTAAGTGTTATACAAACGCTCTCTCAACGTGTAGATTCTCTTAAAATTTATTGTTTTAATGACGGTTTGTGGAAGCTGTACATATCCTGTAAAATTAAGATAGTAATCTGATGCATTCGAGGGTTGATGGATTTTTAATTTTAAAATATATATTCACATTAATCAATTTGCTAGCTAGCGCATAGTGTCGCTCAGGGTAGCAGGCTGACTGAATGGTTCACACAATTGACTTATGATAGGAGGATTTGCTGGCAGTCTAGGTTTAAATCCTGCTAGGTTTGTGCTAGCTGGTGCTAGCTAAAAAAACTAAACAACCATTACTGACGTTCCTATGAGAGATTCTAGAGAGTGTCTGTAAGCTCCAACCTTTCTGCACTATCATACCTAAATAAATTATGTTATGTATTATCCAAAGCAAACCCTTGACATGCGAGTTAAAGATTGAAACAAACAAAAAAAACATAGACAATTCATGTTAGATTTTTCTTTATACTATGCTAGAACATATAGTACCAGATATATTGTTGTTTATTTGCACTTATTATCCTGACTGTTTAACACTATTTTTTTATATACTTTTACAGATTACTGACAGATACTGATATAGATGAACAGAATAAAAATGAAGGATTGGGCTCATAATATTAATGATTTTGGCACTTTTTTATGTGGTGATGTGTGTTGTACCAAACCTTTTTGCCAAAGCAAACTTTTGAATCAGAGGTCCGAACTTATTATTGAATATTTGCAAACTTGGTTTCAAAATACACCGAGATTCTAGGATTTTTATTAAATAGACCATAAAATTTTTGTTGTCACATGCGGCAATTATATAGATTCCTAAAGAAGTTTAACCTAAAAATGTCGGGATTACAACCCCACAGTTTATTGATACCATTCACAAAGAGCTGAATACTTGTGGACAAACTATGGGTTATAGGTTTTTGTGGCAACGGCTTCAAAATTAATCATAATGTGAAGACAACTCATCAGGAAGTTATGGGGGTAATGAAGATTTTAGATCCTGAGGGCACTCATCTGATCTGAGAAGAAAACCTATCGTCTCAAAAAGGCAGTGTTTATTGTGCAAAAGGTCCCAACTATATTTGGCATTTAGATGGTTATTGCAAGTTAAAACCCTTTGGATTTTGTATCCATGGTATTATTGATAGATTAAGTAGAATAACTGATCTGGCTAGATGTATCGGATACAAAAACAATAATCCATACCTCATTCCAAAGTATTTTTTTAAAAATTCCCGGAATTCAATTGAAAAAGGCACTTCGAGTATCATACGTTGTGATGCTAAGAACAGAAAACTTCTGATGTATACCTTTTACAACAGTTCTTTCCGGTACAATGCAAATTGACGCTTTTGCAAAACACAGAAGTGTTATAATTGGTAAAAGTACTTCCAATCAGCGAGTTGAACGTTGGTTAGGCTCATTACGACAAGAAGATTTACAGTGGTGGCTCAGCTTTTTAAAGACGTGATTCTTTACGATATGATAAACTCAACACAGTCCACTCTGTTAATCTGAAATTTTGCTTCATGGATCTAATCCAACACACCTTGATCGAATTGCTCAAAACTGGAATACTCACGCTATTAGACCCCACAAGAATTACGAGCTCAATATGGAAAACCTGACGTAAAGTTCTATTTACCCGAACTATTTGATAGTCAAGATTTCGGTACAAATGTTGATATACAAGACGTAATTTGTTGTCAACGGATGTATTCAATTCCGAAGAACAGAAATAAAGACTTTAAAGAATTGGCTAAACTCTTGAAACCGGATTTACAAATGGCACATGACGCTGAAACGGCACTGTAATTGTTTTTCGAGCTCAATAAATTGGTATGGTTAGCAGAAATAGTTCGTCACCGCTTTGTTCTTTCTACATGGATGGAGGATTTACATCTTCTTACGATGGTGAACGTTTGTGCCAAATTATTTCAAAATCCCTCCATCTTATGTACATAGATGATACTACTGAACCTATTCCGGTAACTACCGCTATATCGCACTCAGTGGTGCCGCAGATATCTGCACCGAGCGGTCTGCCATCCAGTGGAGAAACCGGTACTCCTACAAGGCTAGGAAGATAAACAGAGACAGCCTTTTTCTGTGGAACATTAATAGACTATCCTCATTGATAATCGACAGTGATTTCTTTCTTTTTTGATCAATTATGAATATCATTCTTATGTTGATATATACAACTTTTGTTAATGTCCGCACCTCAAATTCAATAAAATGGCTAAACGTCATAGTAGTAGCGTACTTATATATACACACTTGTACATGTATTCGCGCAAATAAATATTTCAATCATGATAATAATGAGCTTGGTGTATTGGATTAATCACAAGAAACTCAAAACTGGATCAGTCAATGACATTTGTGTTTTTACATATAAAATACGAGAATTGCAGATATGGCTTATTCCGAGGGATCACTTTGTTTCGAGATTTTTATTACCATGGCGCG